TGGGTCTTCCGCGTGAAGACCGCAGCGGACTGCACGATCGAGCGATTTAAGGCACGCACGTTGGGTTGTGCGCGGCTACGATAAGAGGCACGGCATTGACTTTGACCAGACGTTTGCGCCATTCAGCCGTCACACCTCCGTCAGAATTTTGCTCGCCATCGCCGCCGCGAGGCACCTGCCGCGCAAAATTGACGTGAAAAACGCATTCTTATACACGTTAGTAGATGGAGTAATTTACGCAGAGGAGCCGTACACATACGGCGAAGGGGATTCGCGCGTATGCCAGCTACGAAAGTCTCTCTACGATATCAAGAAGGCAACAGGGCTCTGATAGCAGTATCTACACAACATCCTGCTTGAGATAGGCTTTAAGCAACTGCCCCACGATCCCGGGATGTATCGCCGTGGCTCGCGGTCTAAGTCGACGATCTGCTCTACACAGGATCGAGCAACGAACTGCTCGAACAGTTCGAAAGGAACCTGGCGAGGCGCGTCAACATTACCTGCAACCACGATGTGAAGTAGTTCTTAGGCCTCAATGTCTCCTACGCGCCAGAAGCCATTCATCTCTCAGCAGCTAGTACGCAGAAGAACTTGGCGAACGCTTCAAGATCGCGCCTGCACCGCTCTCCACCCCTTACCGCACTCCCGGACCGAACCACAAGCCTGACAACAAAGCCGTGTCCCCCGCTGGACTGCTGACTTACCAGCAGCAACTAGTTTGCCTGCTCTTCGCCTTTGTCACAGCAGGCCAAATCTCTCGAACATCGCGAGCCAGGTGGCTCAATACTCACGCAAACTGACGGCTAAAAATATTCTGGATCTTCAGCGCACTCTGCAATTTTTCATCTCCACGCCCCATGTCGGACTGTGCTACTCCACAGTCCCAACCTCGTCCTTCAACCTCATCGGCTACGTGGACGCCGATCACGCCGCTGACTCGGATAATCCACGGTCCAGAACTAGGTTCCTATTTCGACTCAAACTGACAGGACCCATCTCCTGGAATTCGCAGAAGCATGCACTGGTTGCCCTGTCATCGGTGGAAGCTGAGTTCATCGCCGCGACAGCAGCAGTTCGCGAAGGACTTTACCTACAGGAGCTCCTATAGGAGGCAAAAATTCCATCCTCTCCCACAAAACCTTAAACCCTAAATCCTAAACTTTCGCCTGCACTGCGACAACCAGAGCGCGATCAGGATCGCGAACAAACCTGGGTTCGTCAACCGCACCTAACACATTGCGCTGCGGTGCTTCTTCGTCAAGGACATAGTGGACAAGCGCAATGTTGACTTGACCTATTGCAGGACAGGTAACATGGCAGCTGATTTCCTCACGAAGCGACTGTTACTTCAGCAGTACCAGCACTGCTCCGAATTCAGCGGAGTAGTCAAGCGGGTCAACAACAGCTACGGTCAGGAGTGAAGGGGGGTGTTACGAATAGTGAAATGAGAAAAGGCACTGTGCACTCCTAACCGCAGCAAGCGAAATACATAATGCTGCCGAGGATGAATGCGAAGGGGCAGAGTGACGCGAAGAGTCACGTACGGTTACGAAGCATCTGGACCGTCAGGGCAGACAGCATCAAGCAGCAGTAGAGGCGAGGATTCTGCCCAAACAGTTTTGTAACCGTTTGGAGTCGCACGGCTGGATTTCGCTGCAATAAGGGAATGTAGCCCTTAGAGTACATGGCTAGTCTAGGCCGCTTCGTATTCCACATGTACTCTTATTCATATGCCCGTATTTGCATGTTTTTATCATCTCAATCATTTTGCATTCACTCTGAATTGAGGTCAAGGGCCCACCACCACTACTCAATCGTGTGCGAACCTTCCCGAGGTGATCCTGGGTACGATCAACTTCTGATCGCAGCAAAGCGTAACTCACTACTGACTTGCTAACGTTGCTATGTAAAACTCTTTTTTGGGTTGCGAAGCAACCTATTACGATCGATTTGGCCAGTTTTTTTTTTCACATTTTCACATTTTATTTATTTAAAATAAAATATGAAAATAAAAAAAAAACTGATTTTCCTAATTGATAGCTACGGAAACTGTAGGAGGTCCTGTCTAGTTCAATTATACTAACGTGGTGGTACCGATTTTTTTAGACAACTAGGTTATTTCTGTGATTTACTTGGCTGTGATTTACTACCGTATAATATGCACATAATATGATGAGATGAATATAATGATCGGTGAATGTAGATGAATAGATTGATATTATATGAAATATATTGTGTATGATATGATACGATATGATAAATGATAAATGCATGCCTTATGTTCGATACGAATAATGCTTACATATTACTGACAATCTATGATGCATATTTATAATGATAGAGATGCGTGAAAGCTAACGACCCAAAAACTATGCTACCGCATCCCCCGCCTAGCATGTCGGGGAGTTGATAGCATAATCTTTGAACAATCAGCAGTCACATGAGACAACACAATCCGTGAACTCCAAAAAGATGGTCAACTCTATCATCTCCAGTTCAAGTGGGCTCCCGACAAGCGCGCCAATGAACCTTTTGGTAAAGATGATAGAGCCGATTCACCTTTTTATAATTCAAAGACATGCATTGTTATTGCAATGATGGATGAATGCACACTCAGACAAGCAAACACATTCACAACAACCAAACGCATGCACAACAAAAAAACGAGCCGAAAACCCACGATAAGACATAAAAGATGCAAAACAAAATAAAGATGGCAATATGGGAAATCCTATAAGTAACAACTACAAATTGTCCAGATTGCACTCGTCTTCTAGATCAGCAAAACTCCTGAAAACAAAAACAAAGTAGATAAAGAGAAAAATAAATCATAGAAAAGTGGTAAATATAAATTATCAGGACCAAGAGAGAGGGAACATGAGAGAGAGAGAACGAGAGAGAGAGAACGAGAGAACAAGAACGAGAAAACGAGAGAGAAAGAGAACGAGAGAGAGAGAGAACGAGAGAGAGAGAGAACGAGAGAGAGAGAGAGAACGAGAGAACAAGAATGAGAAAACGAGAGAGAAAGAGAACGAGAGAGAGAGAGAGAACAAGAGAGAGAACGAGAGAGAGAACGAGAGAGAGAGAACGAGAGAGAGATCGAGAGAGAGAGGACGAGAGAGGGAGAACGAGAGAGAGAGAGAGAGATCGAGAGAGAAAGAAAACGAGAGAGAACGAGAGAGAGAGAACGATAGAGAGAAAACGAGAAACGAGAGGGAGAGAACGAGAGAGGGAACGAGCGAGAGAGAACGAGGGTGAACGAGCGAGAGAGAACGAGGGTGAACGATCGAGAGCGAGAGCGAGAGTACGAGAGTGAAATAACGAGAGAGAGAGAGAGAGAAGAGAGAGAGAACGAGAAAACGAGGGAGAACGAGAGAACGAGAGAAAGAGAGAACAAGAGAGAGAGAGAGAGAACGCGAGAGAGAGAGAGAAAACGGGAGAGAAAGAACGAGGGAGAACGAACGAGAGAACGAGAAAGAACTAGACAACGAGAGAACGAGAAAGAGAACGAGAAAGAGAATGCTCCAACCTAATAATTTAACTCTCTGAACATAATTGTTAATAATCATGTCAAATTTCAATTAAGGAAGAGGAATAAATCAAGAAACAGCGTACGGAAGAAGACAAAAGTAAGAGCAAGAGCTGAAAAGAGCAAGCAAGTAGAATGTAAATCGAAATAAAGGAGAGAAGAAGATGGGAAGAAGTGGAGAGAAGGAGAGGGAAGGAGAGAACAAAAGTACGGTGCATAACCTTGGAAGAAAGCGAGGTTAAGAAACAAAAGACGTCTAGATCTCGTTTAAAAAAAAACAACTCTCAACCAAATGAGCTAAACTAGAACCCACTCTCAACTAGAATGAACTTAAAGCTCGCGTCTCAGATTTCCAACCTTTTAACACTTGGTTGGGTTTTCCCGTCTGTGATTGGGTAACGAATGACGAATTATTTGACGAGTGGGTGAAAAAAACACAGCGAACTCCCAAACAGTCGAGGCCAAAACAAACCAGGGTGGGTTGGTTTGGGTGGAAAACGAGCCAAGGGGGACAGGTTTGGTCCCGGGTTCTGTCAATGTTGAGTTCAGAGTCTCATATTTTCGAGAGTTGTTAACACTTGGTGTGCACGGGGAAGTGTGCGACAGCCAACTTTCCCAACCCACCCCTTGCTTTGGTGTGCTTTGCGACAAACTCTGCTGTTACCGGATTCCAACCGTTTAACACTTGGTTGGATGGCAGAAATATGAGACGCGAGCTTTAAGAATAGAGAGAATGAGGCTTACCTTAACTAGGAGTTATAGTCTGAGTGGTGTGAGTGGCGTGAGTGGCGTGAGGGACGGGGAGAAGCTAGAGTAGTCTGACTAGGTGGAAGAGAAACGGAGCAAAAAGACATTTGACGAAACCCTAGAATGGGACGTTTTTATTGCATTTTAGGTCAATAAATTTTACGCCACTACAACACGGATTGTATAGCACAGCTCTGTCGAAGCCGAGTTTCTTCGCTAAGGTCGAGAGTTCCAGACGGTCATAGACATTATTTCGGTAAAATAAAACTTCTCCTTTCTGTAACTTCTTTTGTTTCAGATTTTCAGTCACCCTAAAACCAAATCATATGAACACAACAAGAATAACTTACCCTAAACAACCACACCCATCTGTTATGTACACCCTTTCATTTGTATACTCCCATATTATATGAAACATGTATCTATGAATAGCAATGATTCAGCAAATATCAAAGTCATGTTACGATATTATATAATTCTCACTATAGATCAGATGTATCTAAAAATAACAGTGTAATGTTGCTTCGCAACCCTAAGACGATTTCGTCGCCTCTTGTTTTTTTTTTTTCCAATAGTTGAATTGACGAATCAATGGAAACCTATGAAGAAAACAAGAAGATGAAGAAAAAAAGCCCTGCGCCAGAAACGTGACCATCAATTTCCCACCCGTATAAACAGGGTAATGTTTTACACTTATTGTGACGTACGTAATTGTTATTGAATGGTACTACCCATTTCTCTAGCAATCAGCTGTTGGTTGGTAGACAATGTCAATACCCTTCGCGTGTACCTCCTAACGCGTACGAGGTCTGCGTGTGTACCTCCCACGAGGTCTTCAGCGTACCAGTGGAGCAGCCTTCGGCGCCGACTCCTCCACCCGCCATGGCTAGCGGCGATACAGCGCGGGATGCGGGGATGCAAGGAGGCGGCGGAGCAGCGAGTGGCGAGGAGGTGGCGGCGGGGCTCGTGATCGCGCACCCCGACGACGAGTCCATGTGCGCCCCGCCTCGCCGCCTCCCCGCCTCCCCGCCTCCCCGCCTCGCCGCCTCCCTGCCTTCCCGCCTCCCCGCCTCCCCGCCTCGCCGCCTCCCTGCCTTCCCGCCTCCCCGCCTCCCCGCCTCCCCTCCTCCCCGCTTCCTGCCTTCCCGCCTCCCCGCCTCCCCGCCTCCCTGACCTCCCGCCTCCCCGCCTCCCCGCCTCCCCGCCTCCCTGACCTCCCGCCTCCCCGCCTCCCCGCCTTCCCGCTTTCCCGCCTCCCCGCCCTCCCGCCTGCCCGCCTCTCCGGCTCCCCGCCTCTTAGTCCTCGCACGCCTCTCTTGCGCCCCGCCTCGCCTCGCCTAACCTCGCCTCGTCTCCGCCCTCCTCGCCCGCTGTGATCATCCGCCGCTCCCGCGGCCACAGCCGCGCGCTGCTACCCTGCCGCTCTGCCCACCATCCGCCCTCCTTATTCTCACCATCCGCCCTCCTTATTCTCACCTCCGCGTTTCACTTCCGTCCTCCTCTCCCCTCTCCTCCGCTACCCTCCTCTCTTTTGCTCTCTCCTGTGCTTCCCCCTTCCGTCCGCCAACCCCCCCGCGCGCAGGTTCTTCGTGCCCACGCTGCGCGCGCTCGCCGCGCGGCCCTCCGCGGTGGGGCTCCTCGTCTGGTGCGCGGCGCTGCCACAAGCTGACTCCATACAACACGGCGCCCGCTGCGCGCTGCACATCCTCTGCCTCTCCTCAGGTCTGCCTCTCCTCAGGTGCCCCATGGCCCGCCGTGCGTTTCCTCTCTTCCGTTGACTCCCCTCTGAGCTGCGCCACCCCTTATTCTCTCCTGCAATCCCTTCGCCTTGTGCCCTACTGGGCAATGCTGAGGTAGTTCAGGCGCCCAAATTGTTGTGTTTTACCCGCGTCCCCTCGTTGCAACGGAACTTCGCATCCCCTTGGTTTCCCGCGCCTCAACATTCTCCCCTCCTCTCTCTCCGCCCTCGCCTCACCATCTGGCCTCGGCAGGCAACGCGGAGGGGCTGGGCAGCACGAGGAGGGCGGAGCTGAAGGCAGCAGCGGCGACCCTCGGGGTAGAGACGGGGTTGGGGAGAGTTAGGCTGGGAGAGAGGTTCGGGGAAGAGACAAGCTCGAGGTAGGGAGTAGCTTGGGGTAGAGAGCGGCTTGAGAGAGGCTCAGTCACTCCCCATCCCAACCCACTCCATCCCAACCCACTCCATCCCAAACCAATTCTCCCCGTTCCATCCACCCCATCCCATCCCCATCATCCTACCCCTCTTCTTCTCTGTTCTCACCCGCACCCCTTTGTTCTCACCCGCACCCCTTTGTTCTCCTCCTCTACAGTCACTCTCCTCACCGCACCCTCGTCACCTCAAAACCTCCCCCCTCCCCTTCCCCCCCTCCCTTTTCCTATCCCTCTCGCCCCCCTCTCTCCGACGCTCAGATAGCCCAGCAGTGCGTGGAGGTGGTGGACCACCCGCAGCTGCAGGTGTGGTGAGGGGCGGTGAGGGGTGAGTGAGGGGCGAGTGAGGGCGGTGAGGGGCGAGTGAGGGGCGAGTGAGGGGTGAGTGAGGGGTGAGTGAGGGACGAGTGAGGGGTGAGTGAGGGGCGAGTGAGGGGTGAGTGAGGGGTGGTGAGGAGCGAGTGAATGAGGGGTGAGTGAGGATGGTGGGCGGTTGAGGGCAGTGAGGGGATGGGTTGACATGGGTAAGGAGAGGAAGGGAGTGAGGCGGAAAGAAGCAAACTGGGCAGGCGGGAGTGCAAAGCACACATCCTTTCATCCACGCGGCAGTATGAGTCATCCGCCAACCCTTCTTCTGCACATTCACTCCCCCGTCTCTCGTCACCGTTGATCTGCAGGATGGCATGGACCAATCCTGGCCGTCGGATGTCATTGCCGGCTTCGTCACTGACTTTGTGAAAAGGCACCAAATAAAAACGGTGGGCGCAATGATGGGATGTGATGTGACGGATGGGGTATGGGGAGGGATGGGGGATGGAATGTGAGGTGTGCGTCCTTCCGTCCACTCTCTGCCCTGCGCGCACACCTCGCTCTTACCACCCTCCCCTCGGCCCCTCAGATGCTCTCTGTGCACGCCTGGGGAACCTTCCGGCCCTCTTATTCTGTTCTTTCCCCTCTACTCGTCCCTTGGGAATCCCATGTGCCGTGCAGCTCCTCACATTCGACGCCTGGGGTGTGTCGGGCCATCCCAACCACCGTGCCATCAGCCATGCTCTCAGGTGCGGCATCCGTTGAGGTATCAGGTGCTTTCTGAAAAACCCGGTGTGTGCATGCTGCCTTGCCCAGACGCCCATCGCTTCATCAAACTACGCTGTGGCATTCAGCCTGCACCTGCTGGTGTGTGGCATTCAGCCTGCACCTGCTGCTTCCCAGCCTCGCCACCCCCGAGGCCCGTCGGAGGCGCATTTGGTTGGGACGGTCCAGCTGCTAATCGGAATGCCTTGCTGGAGGCGCGCTTGGGTGCTCCTGGAACTACAAACACACGTGACAGAGGTGGTGGAAGGGAAAAGACATTGCGGGGGGATGCGGTGTATGTGTGGGCAGTGGGTGGAAGCGGATGGGGAATGTGAAGAAGAAACTTGAGCTGGTTCAAGTCGTTGTGGGTTGAAGATGCAGCCCGACGTACCGGGAGCTGCACCGCACTGAACCACTCCCGCGCTGCTCATCGTTATGTGAGGCCCGACTGTCTGTGTTGCAACTGCGTCTCCCTGCAAGCTGTCCCCCTGCCACCTGTCCCCCTGCCACCTGTCCCCCTACCACCTGTCCGCCTGCCACCTGTCCGCCTGCCACCTGTCCCCCTGCCACCTGTCCCCCTGCCACCTGTCCCCCTGCCACCTGTCCCCCTGCCACCTGTCCCCCTGCCACCTGTCCCCCTGCCACCTGTCCCCCTGCCACCTGTCCCCCTGCCACCTGTCCCCCTGCCACCTGTCCTCCTGCCACCTGTCCCCCTGCCACCTGTCCCCCTGCCACCTGTCCCCCTGCCACCTGTACCCCTGCCACCTGTCCCCCTGCCACCTGTCCCCCTGCCACCTGTCCCCCTGCCACCTGTCCCCCTGCCACCTGTCCCCCTGCCACCTGTCCCCCTGCCACCTGTCCCCCTGCCACCTGTCCCCCTGCCACCTGTCCCCCTGCCACCTATTCGCATGTGCCAAGCTCGTCACCTCACGTGCTTCTCGATCTCCGTCCGCCCTGTCCCCCTCGCCCCAACGCCCCTGCTCACGTGCTTCACCAGCACCATGGTCGACAACGGGTCGCTGCCAGTCCCCGTGTGGCAGCTGGTGAGTGTGGCAGCTGGTGAGGGGGGCAGCTGGTGAGGGGGGCAGGCAGTCGGGGTAGTGTCTCTGCCATGCCACCACTCTCCTCTCCCCCCTGCCCTCATGCTCGCTCCATTTCGAATGGCCTCCATGCATCCCTTTCCTTTCACTCTCGTTCCTCTCACTCGCTTTCATTTCCATTTCCTGCTACATCCTTCCACTCCCATGTCTTTCCTTCCCGTCCATCCACTTACCTTCCAGTATCCCCTCCATGCATCCCCATTTGACCTTCATTCATCTCCAATCCATCCTACCTGCCATGCCTCCTGCAGAACAGTGCATGGCTGCATGTCAAGTTTCTTGGGCTCCTGGGGGTGCTTGCCATGTGGATGCATTTCCTCATCACACAATACCTAAGCACGGCAGGCAGCAGGATATATTTCATCTGCCCGAACATGCTGCCCAGCGTGCGAGCGATGCGGGCCCATCGCTCCCAATTTGTTTGGTGCGTAAAGCTATCTCTGAGAGGCCTCCTCTATCTTCCTCCCTGCTGCCTTTATCACCCTGCATGGCACAGCCCCCACCCGTCCTCATCACCCGCACGCCTCCCCCCTTCACTGTCCCATGGCCGTGCTGGCAGGTTCCGCTGGCTCTTTGTGCTCTTCTCCGTCTACACCTTCCTCAACACGCTCTCTCGCGTTGCTCCTGCACCTCGCTCGCACAAGATCAAGAAATCTCAGTAGGCCAATTGCCAGGATGTCGCTGTGCCATATGCAGGGAGCAGCAATGTACAGGGAGCATGCTTTCCATATGACCGGTGCTAACTTGGTAATACAGCATAATGCATTGGTGGCCAACTTTACATTCGCTATCTATGGTTCTTGCAACTTGTAGTTACTAACAAGAAAAATATCATTGCACACAAGGTAAACAATATTCCAGTGCTAGTTACAACTCCCAAAATCAATGGAGTTACATTCCACCTAAAAGTATTGCAATATGCGCAGCTGACGCGGCAGCAGCGCTCTCGCTGTGTGCATGATAGCGTGTGCGGGGTGGGAGGTGGTGAGGCGCTCAGAGCTCGTCGTCCGGCTTGGCCCCCACGATCTCCACCAGCTCCGTCTCAAAGATGAGTGTTGCCCCGCCTGTGTGGCGTGCCATGGCGCATGGCGGACAGGGAGGAGAGAGGGGAGGGGGGCGGCAAGCAGGGCACGGCGGAGGGAGGGAGGGAAGAGGAGTGCAGTATGTGTTTCAAGTGTACAGCATGTGTCTTAAGTGTGTAGTATGTGTTTTATGTGTGCAGCATGTGTTTTAAGTGTGCAGCATTTGTTTTTACTGTGCAGCATGTGTTCAAAGTGTGCTTGCAATGGCACTTTCCGTGCAATGCAAGCATCAGCCAATCCAAGCAGGAACAGGCGAGCGTGCAACGAGAAAAAGCAAGTGGTGCAGCAGGTGCATTGGCGACGCTGTGAGGCAGTGAGGCATGGCCTTGTGAGAGGAGCACAGACGGGAGGAGGGAGAGGGCACAGGGGCAGTGTGGAGTGTGGGGGACGTGATGGGAGCCATGGAGGAGGAGCGGCATGGCGAGCAGCGCATGCAGACAGGGGCAGTGGGAAGAGGGGGAGTGGCATGGCATGAGGGGAAGTGGCGGGACGGGGAGTGGCCAGAGGGGGAGTGGGGAGTGGCCGGGGGGGGGGGAGTAAGTAAACCATGAGCATACCGGGAATCTTGGGTGGCGAGCCCGACTCGCCGTAGCCCATGTGCGCGGGGATCTTGAGCTTGCGCTTCTCGCCCACACACATGCCCAGAATGCCTATGTCCCACCCTGCTCCACGGGTCCATGGGAAGTGGGGGGGAAGGAGGGGGAGGAAAACATAGCAGGAGGTCAGTGCGTGGGAGAGGCGAGGGCAGGGGTACATGCAGAGTGGAGGGAGGGATGTTGGGCGTGCACAAGCTCCCCTTCCACGCTGTGGTGGGATCATCCTAGCGTGTGGGCATGGTGGCGTTGAGCTAAGGGGCGGATAGGGACACGCACGCAGGCAAGGTGGGGCGCACGAGGGTAGCAGTGCACAGAGAAGCACGCTCAACAGCAGTTGAAAGTTTCCTTTATCTCGTGCCAAGGAGGGCTTTCACCCACCCTTGATCACGTTGCCCTGCCCCCCCCCACCCACCCTTGATCACGTTGCCCTGCCCCAGGCGGAACTGCAGCGGGTCGCCGCGCTCGTAGCTCGAGTCAAACACGCTGCCGTCCACCAGCATGCCCTGGGGGGCGGGGGGGAGGGGGGCGCAGTCAGGGGGGGCGGGATGAGTGGGATCCGAGCGGGAAGCATGGTGAGGCAGTAGCGGGGGTGCTGAGAGCGGTGGAGAGGGGATGTGGGAAGAGGAGGGAAGCAGGGAAGCGAGGTGGCAGGACGTGCAGAGTACTAGGATCCATCCATGGGGTGCCTTGGACCTCCCAACCCCTTACATCGATAATACCTTGTAGCGAATCGTGACTGTATTGAGAATACCTTGTAGTAAATCGTGACTGCATCGAGGATACCTTGTAGTGAACCCTGACAGTGTCGAGGTTGCGCGCCTTGGTGCTGCAGGTCTCCGGCTTGAACTGCGCGAGGGGGACATTGGGCAAGGCGCGCAAAGGGCAAGGCGCGCACAGCACACGAGGGAGCGCAGCATGCGATGGGCGCATAGGGGTTAGGGGGAAAGACAGGAAGGGGAGGGGAGTGAGTGGAGCGTAGTGAAAGAGAAGGAGAAGGAGAAGACGGGAGAAAGCGCATGCAGATGGATGGTTGCAACGCAGAACGGGAGGCCCTGAAGGTAAGGGCAAGAGGGCGGGGCGCTAACCTTGACGCCGATCTGCAGCTGCTTGACGTCCTTCTCCACCTTGCCGCTCGCTGCCACGCACGCTCACACACACACAATGAGCGACGGGCACTCACACGCGGAGAAGGATGCTCGCGCAGAGAACGAGAGGGATGGGCGCGCAGAGAACGAGAGGGATGGGCGCGCAGAGAACGAGAGGGATGGGCGCGCAGATAGGTGAGCTTGAGAAGGCGCGGCGGGTAGGTGAAGGTAGTAAGAGGTCACCTGAGACAAGGACGGCGGCGAGGAGAAGCGCGAAGAGCGCGAGTCTGGAATCCATGCTGCTGGCGCACGCGAGTCACGGATACCGATGCTGAGAATGGCGATGCTAAGAAAGGAGGTGGTTATATCTACCAAACACGGGGGAGAGAAGGGCTCCACAACGAAGCGCCGAGATGCCAATTGCCGATGCGGCGCGACGAGGACGAGATTTCTAGCAGCGGGAGATCCACGAAGCCGTTGATGAATGGTGGCTGGATCGCTGCTGCTACAGAATGATGCGATGCGGATGCGGTTATTGATTGGGGAATGTGAAGCGGTGGACGCTGCAACGTTCGCAATATACGACGATCCTATTAACACCGTATAACATTTAGAATCGACCAGCGGATTATTTGCACCACGTTGTATCGCATCTTTTTTACGCGAGGATTTGTGGCGTGCGCCAAGAATGTACCCCCAAAACATCTGCCCTTCATGCAACGGGCGTGCAGGAGCACTGGCAGTTCATAGGAGAGCTGCAACTGGCACACGTGCACTGGCAGTTCATCTTGGTACCAGTTCCAGGGGGTGGCGGCGGTGAAGGCGTGGCTGGAAGGGAATTCTGGGTGACACACTTCTGCAGCTGCCTGTCCCAGTTCTGCTGCACCAGGAATCTCATTCCGTTCAGTCCAACCATGTTATAGCTGTAACCGTTTGCGCTGAGCGTAGTTCCGTAATTCCAAGAGCACAGATCCGCATTCTCCTCCCCACCCGCGTCGAACCAGGCAGACTTTACATCGGGGTCCGTAGCAGCTTCGGTGATTTCGTGCGCGAGAGTTGAAATGGTGGCGTCTATAGCGGGGTTGCCGTTGGGGGAGGTGCTCTTTACGCCGCACGCATTGGGGCACTGGGCGTGGTGACCCACGAACGCGTAGTAGAGTGGGGATGATCCGATATAGCCGACCGTGTGCCATCCGCAGTATTGGCTGCAGAAGCCCGACGATAGAGTCACGTCCTTGCTCGATATAAGAACGTAAATCCCGTATGGGTCGTACGCGAAGGCCTTGCCAGATCCAATCTTGCTCTTCACGACTGCGATGGACACGTAAGGAAATGAGTGAAGAAAGTGAGACGAAGCTTAACACACTCAGGAAATGGTGAAAGAGCACAGTAGAAAGCGAGACGACGGCGTAACAGCGTTTGAATGCTGACAAAAATCTGGGGATACGACATCCGGAGAGGGAGGAACACTAATGGAATGCCCTTTCCGCTCACTTCCCGTGAAGCACCAGCATCAAACAACGAAGCCTTTCTAGAAAGCACGACTTTCTGTGGCGGCTGACAAGAAAGGGCTTACTGGAGAGCACGTTGCTGTCAGTGAGCGCCTTGCCGTTCGAGTAGTTGTCGTACGTCGTCCCTGCGAGCCGCACCATGGAGCTCACGTTCTTCTTCGCCCTGCTGCTCGTCTGATAGTAGTTCGACGTGATCGCCCACCACCCCTTCACCGTCGGGTCGCTCGCCGAGCCCTGCGCGCCCGAGTCGCTGCTTAAAGACCGAACGAAGTTGTCGATGTAATCCTGCCCGGACCCAGCCGGCCAGCTGTCGTAGTAGATATGGTAGATGTTCACCGTCGGGTTTCCGACGATGACTGGGCCTCCATTGTACTTAATGGGCCCGCCGGTCGCGGCGGGGGTTACGGCGCCGCGGAGCTCACTGAAGAGACCCTGGGAGTTCGAGTTCAGAGTCGCGGCTGGCGATTGAAGGCGCTGCGCGTGGGCTTGAACGGTCAGAGCGACTCGTTTTGGCAGACAGGGTGCGGCTGACGAGACGACGGCGTGGGAGACGAGGAGCAGGAGGAGAAAGGCGAGCAGACGAGTCGCGGTCATCATGGCTGTGCGAAAAGCGTGGGAGATGCAACGGGTGATGGGAGGAGACGAGGAACGGGTGGGTCGGATGAAAACGACTTTGTATTCAATAGATTGTGTTGAAAGAGCCGAGAGACGTGCCAATCGGAATGCGATTGGGTTGCTGTCGGATTGTCGTTGCGTTACGGACGGTGTGGGTGACACGCGGAAATGACCGGGTCGCGTGGACGATAAGTCTTGTGTGGGTAGAGTGAGGATCGGCGGAGAATAACAATTGATTGGCTGCGGAGAGGATTTACGGCGAATTCAGGGGCGGTTCGGAGGTGTTTCGGCGATGCTTTCGAATGGCGGCCTCGTCTAACCAGCTTGGGAATGGCTGGCTGGTTCAACCAGTAAGTTATTAACTAGTGTGCTGGAAGGTGTGCGGTATAGAAGCAATGGCCAAAGAAACACGAGATTCCTAATTGAAGATAAGGGAAGAGACGCCCTCAACTTATACATGGCTGCGCAAGGGCTGCTCAATGCTCATGCGCAGCGGTGGACTGAGGACTGAGCAGGATGGAGGGGAAGATTGGCTTCCTCCCTCCCACCCGTTCGTCATCGGATTGCGGTTGTGGCGAGTCCACCTTCTTGACGAGTTCAGTTGGTGTGGGGGGGATTGTTTGTTGATGATCGTGGAGACGTCGCGACGTCAGATTTGCGTTGTGCGGTTGGCGCGGTTGCATGCGTCCCGTCAGAGCATTACCCCTAACTGGGAATTAGCCTAGCCCTCTAAAGGCGAAAATAGCGCAAGCAGAGCTGGTTTCGCCGAGGGGCAGGGTTACCGTTCGCTGGTAAGGTCAAACCTAGTTAGGAGACGCGTTAGTGCGTGTTCAACTTCCCACCCTGCGCAAAAGTTGGGATTCGAATATTTGAAGCCTGTAATATTCCAACACCAATTACCGTCATACCCCGGATATGTCAGACTTGTATGACTTAGCCTGTGTAGGCTATAGTGGGGTAGCACACATGGGGTACAACACATTTCTAGGTTTGTACTTGTACCCAACCTTTCCCTTAGTCAACCACTTTCTCGTTATTCTCACATGGTATAGAGCAGGTTCCCTAGTGGGACCGTTTCTTCCCAAGGGCCCACCATTAATTTTTTTGTTTCCTAACCTGCCCGAAGCGCGCCTCGCGCTCTGACCTGCCCTACCCTTTCGCGGCCCCTTAGTGGCCTGCCCTGCTCTTGAGGCCCGTCGCGGCCCCCACCTTTGCGGCCCCTTCGAGGCCCCTTAGCGGCCTCCCTTCGCGGCCCCTTCGCAGCCCCGTCTCGGCCCCTTCGCGGCCCCTTCGCGGCCCCTTCACGGCCCCTTCGCGGCACCCTCGCGGCCCCTTCGCGGCCCCTTAGCGGCACCTTCGCGGCCCCTTAGCGGCACCTTCGCGGCCCCTTCACGGCCCCTTCACGGCCCCTTCACGGCTGAGCTCCCCGACTGGGTGGAGCTGCTTAGGCTGAGGGTAGATATCTATACTCTTGACTATGATGCTATCCTCACTGCCATGTATGCATTGCCTACTAGTGATGAGGGTGACTGTTACCTGTGTGTTCCGCCTGACCCGGGCATTGAGACTGCTGCTCTAGGTGCTGGTGAGGCTGCTGCTCTAGGTGCTGGTGAGGCTGCTGCTCTAGGTGCTAGTGAGTCTGCTGCCCCAGGTGCTGGTGAGTCTGCTCTCTCAGGTACCACGTCGGCTCAGGCCTCCCACACCTTCACCCTTGACTCGGGTGCTTCCCGCTCCTTCTTTCGAGACCGCACCACACTCACGCCGCTTAGTCGGCCAGTTGCGGTCTCCCTGGCAGACCCCTCTGGGGGTCCTGTCCTTGCCCACTTCTCCACTGTCTTACCGTGTCCGGCGGCCCCTTCTGGCACCCTGTCAGGTCTTTACCTCCCCTCGTTCTCTACGAACTTGGTGAGTGGTGCTGATCTACAGGATGGGGGGGTTCACCAGTTCACTCCTGCGAGTCAGCGAGTGACCCACTGCACGTGTGCTCGGACGGGCCGACACTTGGCCACGTTTACCCGTCGGCCGGGGTCGAGCCTGTACACACTGACTACTGGGTCTCCTCCGGTTGCTGCGTCTGGTCAGGTAGCTGCGTCGGGTCAGGTGTCTGCTGCGGCGTCCAGGTCTGGTCCTGAGTCTGCCCCCTGCTCGTGTCGTCTCCTGTCTCACCAGACTCTCCTCTGGCACCACCGCCTTGGTCACCCCTCCCAGCCTCGTCTCCGAGGCATGGCCTCCCGTGTCCTTGTCTCTGGTCTCCCCCGGTCCCTCCCTCCTCTTCCTCCAGGGCCTGCCCCTACCTGCGTTCCCTGCGTCGAGGGGCGGCAGCGCGCTGCTCCTCACTCCTCCGAGTTTCCTCCGACAGAGGCTCCACTGCAGACGCTTCACATGGACGTGTGGGGCCCAGCCCGCGTCCGTGGACAGGGTCACGAGCGTTACTTCCTGCTGGTGGTTGACGACTACTCGCGTTACACCACCGTCTTCCCCTTGCGCAGCAAGGGAGAGGTCACTGGGGTGTTGATCGACTGGATCCGCGCTGCTCGTCTCCAGCTCAGAGAGAGTTTCGGCTCTGACTTTCCTGTTCTGCGTCTGCACTCCGACAGAGGCGGAGAGTTCTCCTCTGACCTTCTGCGAGCCTTCTGTCGTGCACAGGGCATCCGCCAGACATTCACGCTTCCGGCCTCTCCATAGCAAAATGGGATTGCTGAGCGCCGCATTGGCATGGTCATGGACGTCGCTCGTACGTCCATGATCCATGCGGCTGCCCCCCATTTTCTGTGGCCGTTTGCGGTTCAGTACGCGGCGCATCAGATCAACCTTCAGCCCCGGGTCTCCATGCCGGAGACCTCCCCTGCTCTGCGGTGGACGGGGAAGGTTGGCGATGCGTCTGCGTTCCGTGTTTGGGGATCCCGGGCGTTTGTCCGCGACTTGTCTGCGGACAAGCTGTCCCCCCGTGCTGTTCCCTGCGTCTTCCTTGGCTTCCCCCCTGACACGCCTGGTTGGCAGTTTTACCACCCCACCTCGCGCCGTGTTCTGTCCTCTCAGGACGTCACGTTTGACGAGTCGGTTCCCTACTACCGTCTCTTCCCCTACCGCACTGCGTCCCTCCCCCCGCCGCCTCTCTTCCTCGCGCCAGGTCCCCCCCCGGTAGACCCCCTCCCCCCTCAGGGTCCTGCCCCCTCAGGTGTGTCCCACGTAGACGCAGTCGAGCCTGTCGAGGTAGCTGTTGACTCTGGTGCTGCTAGGGGTGCTGAGCCTGGGGGTGCGGGGCCTGTGGGTGCTGAGCCTAGGGGTGCTGACTCTGGGGGCGCTGAGACTGGGGGTGCTGAGCCTGGGGTTGCTGAGCCTGGGGGTGCTGAGCCTGGGGGTGTGGAGCCTGGGGGTGCTGAGCCTGCTCGTGTGGCGTCTGGAGGGACTGGGCCTGGAGGTCCTTCGGGTGCTTCGTCCCGGCGAGAGTTACTCTCTCCACAGGAGCTGCGCGAGTGGTTTGCTCGGCGTTGGAGCCGTACTGCTGGAGCTGGAGGTGCTGCTGGTGCTGGAGGTTCTACTGCTGCTGAGGGTGCTGGTGCCACGGGTCCCGGAGGTGCTCGTACTGGAGGTACTGGAGCTGCTGGGCCTGCGGGTACTCCTTCTGCTGGAGCTGGAGCTGGAGCTGCTGGGGGTGTTGGCGCTGGAGGTGCTGGCGGTGCTGGTGCTTCTGAGGGTGCTGGTGTTGGTGCTGCTGGAGCTGGTGCTGCTGGCGCGGCTGGAGCTGGGGGTGCTACTGGAGCTGGTGCTGCTGTTGGGGGTGCTGGTGCTGGAGCTGCTGGCGCTGCTGGAGCTGGGGGTGCTACTGGAGCTGGTGCTGCCGTTCGTGGTGCTGGCGCTGTTCCTGCTGGTTCTGGGGGTGCTGCACGGCCGCGGCCGTACTTCGTTCCGCTCCTTGAGCAGGTTCTTGGTCTTCCGCCCTCTACTAGTCCTGCTCCTCTCTTAGAGTGTCCGCCGCCTGTCCAGTCTGAGTCACAGTTACAGCCAGCCTCCCCACTGCCTGCTCCTTCTCCCTACACTGGTCCTACTGGAGGTCTTGCTGAGCGTCGTGAGCCTTCGTCTCGTCCTGCGTCGCCTGTCCGTGCTGCTCGCACTAGTGGTCGTGGTTCGCGTCAGCGTCCTCCCCCTGTCCCCGGCACGCACCGGATGTCTCTGCATCCTTCCACTGCTCCGCTGCATGCCCCTTTGCCTTCTCCTCCTGAGTCCTCTCTTCCTGCTCTTGCTGACCCAGAGTCGGACTCTCTTCGTGCTGCCAGTCCTACTGTCACGCGTCTCCTTGCTACTGTCGTCACTGACCCTTCCTTCGAGTCCACTGCTGCGTCTGTCTTAGTTGCTGAGCTTGTCGACTTTGCTGCTCGCTGTCGTCTAGACTACGCTGCTAGTCTTGTCGCTGAGTCTGAGTCTGTCTGTCCTCCGTCCGTCGGGGGTGAGTGTGCCCTTGGCACGGACGTCCTTGAGGACAGGCAGGAGGAGTTCCAGTGCTTTGCTGCTGCTTCACCTCATCTCGTGTCCATGCTGCTGGCCCCTGAGGGAGACCCGGATGCACCAGACATCCCGACTCCGCGCTCTTACGCGGAGGCGATAGAGGGTCCCTAATCCTCTCAGTGGCAGGCAGCCATGGACGCAGAGATGGCTTCCTGGAAGTCCACAGGCACCTACGTCGACGAGGTTCCCCCACGTGGGGCGAACATCGTCAGTGGCATGTGGATTTTCAGGGTGAAGCGGCCGCCGGGTTCTCCGCCTGTCTTCAAGGCGCGTTACGTGGCTCGAGGCTTCAGTCAGCGGCAGGGAGTTGACTACTTTCAGACCTTCTCTCCCACCCCGAAGAAAACCACTCTTCGGGTGCTACTGCACATAGCCGCTCAGCGCGACTACGAGCTTCACTCTCTTGACTTCAGCACTGCTTTCCTACAGGGTAGCCTGCACGAGGAGATCTGGCTGCGCCGCCCACCTGGCTTCAC